TTGCATCTTGAATGGTTTATCAACGCGATCAAACCATATTGCGTTTTTCAACACAAATTGCTGATTGATGACTAGACCCGTCGCACCGGAGTCTATCAAAACGTTCGCAGCAGCCCTTTTCGTGCCTCGTTGGACGGTTCCTTTTATCTCAATGGAGGGAGCATTCAACCGGTGAATCATCCCAACTTCCATTGTCTCGTCCGTTAATACATCATATCGGTTCCTCGAGGCAAAACGTCCTTCCGGTCTTTGAGCGGCTGCCCTCAAAGACCGGTTCCAAAATCCTCCTGTATCATCATTAGAGCTTGACCTTTATCTTCGTCGGTCATAGCCTCTAGCATTTCCTTGAGTCCTTCTTGAGAGAACTGCATTCTTGCGCGCATCGTTCCTCCTCTTCCTCGGCTTTTCCATCCTCCTCGGCCTCTTCCGGAATTTCCTGCTGTCGGACACTCCCGTGATAGATGCCCCGCCTTGTGGCACTTGTAGCACAGTCCTTCCTTAATGTGCCTTTCGCGCTCGGCTTGCGACATTCGTTGGAAACGCGGTTGGAACTTAACCGCGTCAACGTCCATTGGTTCTCCATAATTGTAGGATTGCCATGTCGTCGCCGTCGAGTACATCTTCGGTACGTCGCTGAACTGCGATTGTACTTGGTCCGGGTATATCTTTCTTCCTTGGGAGTTGTCGTTCTTGAGCAGCTTCAGAATCCGTTGTGCGTCGATAGCAAGTTCTTGAATCTTCGGTAGCCCTGTACCTGGTGTCTTCTCTTCTAGTTCATCGCAGTCGATCCTGGATTCTAGGACCTTGACTCGTACATCCTTGTTCAAGCCGTCTTCAAACTTCTTGATCAATGAGCGGTTATCGTACCCTGAATTCTTGGCTAAGGAATTGAACGCGCTGATATAAGCGTCGACCGAGCTTTGTCCTTGGCTGAGTCGATCGATAATATCTCTTGCTCTTCTTCCTTTATCCAGGGGTTTAAACGCCGTCTCAAGTTCTGTTATGAACTGATCAAACGTTTGGCTTGCTCTGGCGTTACCAGCTGTCGTTGTATCCTTGATGTATTGAGTCTTCCATTGTTCTGCGATTCCCTCCTTCATGTACGAAAGGGCGTACGCTATCTTCTTGTTGTCGTTATCGAATTTCTTGGGTTGCGCTTTTATCACCATTTTGCAGTGAGCTGTAAACGCTTCCAACCTAGATCGGTCTCCATTGAACGCTGGTGGAGCGCCGAGCTCTAGTTTCTCGTTGTCGGCCATTTCTTCGTCGTTGTCGGGTTTCGGTGTCGTCTTCTTGTCGGGTTTAATCGTCTCTTCAAGCTCTTGATCAAATCTCTCTTCAAGTTCTCGGTCAAGTCTGTCTTCTTCTTCTTCTTCAGGTGGGTCGATAACTATCGATATTGGAAGTGGGCTTAGTTGGCTCTTCTCTTCAAAATCGATCGTTCCGGTTGTAATGTTCGGTGTCGGGGGATCGTATCCGATGATTTCAATCCACTGGCTTCCTTCAATTCTCCTAGGAGGTGGGACGCCAAAAGTTCCGTGTCGTCCGTGTTGATTTTCAAACCCTTCGCTAATTGCTCTAGCGACGGTGAGTAAACCGCTCTCCTTTTCGTATTGGTATTCTGCGACTGGTTGGTTGTCTCGGATCCGGATCGCGAGATAGGCTGTTGTTGAGTCTTTTAAATTCGATGCAGAAAGAGTTTTTCTTCTGGGATCGTAATCCTAAGACCCGGGGCGGAAACCTTTTCAGTGAATCCTCTT